TCTTCCAAGTCTTATAGTAGGTCACCATTAACAGACAGATAATTACATGAAAACACCTAGATCGCATACATCGAATGTAAATAGTTTCAAGTGTACATTCTAATCTACTGGTTAGCGTTTTTTTTTTTGGCAAGTTAGTTTTTAGTTGGAATGGGGGCGCCAACCCCTCCTCCTTTATCCGGGCTTGGGAGCGGCAGTAAGTAGCCCCGAAGGGTCTACAGGCGGAGTTCTAATCTACTGGGTTACCATCAAATATCATTGACGTTTATAGCAGTGGTCGTGGATAATTGATGTAAAATTACTTAGACATATACGAGAATAAAAGTTCTCTTTAATACTGTGCATGTCTCCTTCACCATATCATGTCGACCGAGGACCTATGCCAAGCCTCAATGATGCTGCTGCTCCAGAATCTTTTCAGTTAATTAAGCTCAAACATAACGCCACTCTATTACAAACCGACAGTGTAGGTGGTTTTACAGGAACCCGGTCCTCATTCCGAGTCAGTGGCATGCACCTCACCATACCTTTTGAACAAACCACTAGCATTGCAGAGTATGACTTTCAGTTGAGTTATGCTCACACAGCGATCAAAGCAGAAAATATATGGTGATGATGAAGTCAGTGAACGTATCATCCGGAACTGACTTATTCTTGGCACCAAAACTAAATGTGGCATGATGACAAAAAACACACAGTTTACGAAATATGTACATCAAGTCGTGAACCATCCATTTACATCTATTGTTTTTGTTCTACAATCCAAACTAGTTAACTATAGATTGTCTATTCTTACTCCTCTTCTAGTTTCCCACATACTCTCTGATCAAGCCATGATCGGTTACTACTTACTGTCTTGCGAATCCCAACCATGTAGTAGTCAACATCTACCAACAAGATAGAGATGATGAAGAATACTGTTACTCCTGCACGTAAACACGTCAACTTGATATACTTGAACCATTACGAGTTTACCTAGTCGGAAAACGAGAGCGAGGATCGAGAATCCGGTGACACGACATGCTACTCTAATCCGACCGTACCAACCCCCATATTGATTAAAAATAAGACAAGACTTGGTATGAAGTAGAACATGTATTCTACAAGCATCCAGAAAGTACGAGGTCCGAATCCAGAAAAGAATCAGGATCCCGGGCTAGGGATCCGGGACCGGGTTTCTGGTCCTGGTCGTGGTCATAAAACGTTACGGATAATGCGTATTTATACATTTTGGTCGAATAGGAAACAGCATCGAATTCTGTGGCATTGACAGTTAAGATGACCAATAGGAAGTAACATTTGAAGTGACATTGCTAGTCAGGACAACCAATAAGAAACAACACTGGAGCATGTGACACTGATATCTACTAGGACGACCATAAAACTGACCAGTAGGAATTAACCAATAATTCTCTTAGGATATTGGATGAATATCCTAACAAATACAGAAGGTCAGAATTTGAGAGAACACTAAGAGTGGATGCACCTACGCCATTGCAAACGATTTTAAGCAATGTCGTTCAAAGTCTCTAACCATTGGCGACTTTCATCTCGTGAACCCCCCAACCAGGTATAATCTACACTTATCAACATGACTCAGTTCACTTATCAGCGAGTTCATGTTTTTGTTATGACCACCGCTAACTTTCTTCCAGCCTATCGTTTTACACCATAAAACATCGCTCGTCGACGCAGTCAGTTGTCTTCGAAGCATTGCTCGTATATACTGGGACACCCGAGTGAGCGACGCTGTTATTAGGAATCGGGTGCTAGGTAACAATGGCAGATCAATAGATGAAGTAATGACACTCAATCAGTTGAGGTGGTTGGAACATGTGTTACGAATGCCTAACCACCGACTGCCTCGACGAGCTTTGTTTTGTAGTGTAGGAGTAGCATGGAAGAAAAGTATGGGGCGGCCAAACCGAAACATGGCAAAAATCCATGAAATCATTGACGAGTGGACTGAGCCATGTCGGTAATTGTCGACTATCTGGTTGGGGTCCACGAGATGATAATAATCGATGGTTAGAGACCTTGAATGACATGGATCAAAACCGTTTGCAATGGCGCCGGCGCATTTATTCTTTGTGTTCTCTCAAATCATAATCTTATGGATTCTTCAACACCTCTAGTTTTGTCTTTTTAAACTTATCTCACTGAATCATACTTCTTGAATAATATTTTCTAATCCTAACCTTTCCGATTACTTCTAATACCTTTACTACCTCTACTACTATTGTATTTGAATTGACAATTATATCCCTCTGTGCTAATCTGGTATGGCAACATGAACTGATGTACTTACTTACGTACGAAGTTCTACGTTGCATCTGACCGACTGACTGACTGACGCAGTCAGTGGCAGTTGATGATAATTCAATAAAACATATTTTTACATAATATTATCATTCACAAAAAAAGAGAGACAGAAAAAACAATTTTCTTTTTTTACACAAAAATACTTACAAAATTTCGGAGGGCGGGGGGGGGGGAAATAAAAACACCAAAAAAACAAACGAAAGGCACATATTCATGAGTGACTTGATACAAATTCATGTTATTGAAATCAAGTTATTAAAAATTACAACTTCAAGACCCGAAGTTTTTTAAAAGAAAAAAATTTATTATTTACAATCACAATTGACAAGAAAGAAATCAATTGAGGAAGATTGATTGACTGATTGATTCTTTCACCAAAACATGATTATTCTCAT